ACTCTAGATTCACGGATTAATGGCAATCATTATATTTCTAAGGCATTTTGCTCTTTTTGAACTCGCTGAAATGTACTACTTTATGTACTACTTACCCACTGGGCACAGAATATTGGAATCGCAGGCACATTTGTTCTGTTGAAGTTGAAGTGTGAGGAAGAATTATCTCCAATGGAAGCAAAAGTTCAGCTCTACCTCTGCGCTCAGTAACAAAGTATCCTCCTGTGAAAAAGAAAAAAAAAAGAAAAACATTTTATTTTTGTACGATTGYTTACTAAATTTTGTATATGAATTGATTTTGATTATTGTTTTGTTTGTTTTTGACAATGTTGTAGCTGTTTTATTAGATTATTACGCAACGCGTCTAAGCCTTTCGGYCACCRTAAGATACATAGCCTTCGGTGTCGATGGTCTGCGGTCTGATTACCTGAGCCGCCATGACCGGAAGAAGGTCCACCGGAAGTAGCTCCWGAGGTAACTTTGAAGTYMACGTCATCGTCAAAAGGCACATTTACCCAGTCACATGAGTCGGAGTCAAATTTACAGGCTCGGATCTTGTTGGAGGCGTCTAGAAATAGTAAGACAAAGATGAACTACAAATTAGARGTGGCTAACACATCCACTTTTGGGACCAACTGCTGCTGCGAGCTGAAAATAGCTTTTTCGAAGTATCAAGCATTAAAAAATTGAAGATACGGTATCGCAAAAAACCGTCGGTAAAAATCGTCTCGTGTAGCATAAGCTTTATTCAATGGGAAAATACTTCTTTATCAACAAGTACTAACTAAGTACTCTTTGATTATAAAATCACTACTACACTACTCTCACAGCACTTTACTAATAGTGCTTGTCATATTAATGATCTTACTTCCTGAGCAGTCTCCTCCTCCGCCACCACCACCTCCTCCTCCTCCTCCGCCACCACAGAAGCCGCAGGTCTTGGCACAGTTAGCCTTCATGTAACTATGCCACTGGGAGCTAGTTGCGCAAAATCCATTTGACTTCCATCCAGAACAATGTATGCTTTTGTCAGCACACACAGCTGCATGCAGAAAGAAAATTTACTCAATAGCAGTAATATTAAGTTTAGCGAGTTACCGTTTTATATAACGAGTGGATGAACGGATGGATGGATGGATGAATACAGCGGAAGAATACACACTCTTGTMAAGATTTTTATCACAAAACCAAAAAACTTAAGATCGATGAGTAAAAGCATGCATGCACTGCAAGCTGTCTGCTGATTAATAAGGGTTTAGCAGTAAAGTGGATGAAACAGTAAATGAAAGAAATACGATTAAGATGAAAGAAAATGAGTAAATGAGAGTGTGGATAGTCTTGGAAACGCGTGAAACCCATCACCACAGTGCAATACTTACGTGCTTGTGTCGGTCCAGCTAAAAAAATAATCAAACCAAAAATCAGYTTTATATTAAGTCAGTATTCTAGTAGCTAAGGCCGAAAGAAAAGTGGGGAAAGCAAATAATGAGTTAAGAATAGTTCCCCTCACGGTTCCTGTCGCCATCTTGAAAAGTAACTGTGCCTAGCGTTTGCATCGAAGCGAGACGAGCGTTGAATGTGCAATGTTAGATATYTGTGAATATTTTTCTGTAGGTTTGAATTGCACGCTACCAAGGCACGACTACCTTTCAAGATGGCGAACGGAACCGTGAAAGAGACTATTACATGCATGAATAGCAGTTCTTCATTTCGCAAACATAGCCACCAAGCCACCAACAAACATTTAATGCCATGCTCAGGACCAGATCCGGAGCGAGGTGGGGATGTATTCATTGCTGCATCGAGCATCTCTTTTACACCGCAAATCTGGTCATGTTTGCAAAATATAAGCCAAAATAATATATAAGCATCAATATTATAACTTAAGTACAAGATCGTGTTATTCTTTCAAAACAAAAGTGGATTTCTAGTCTAAAAGTTATTGCGATTCTATCACTATCACATGTTCATTTGGGATACCTCCCCCCCCCCCCCCCCCCCCCCCCCCCCTCCCTGAACAATGTCTACATCCGCCCCTGATAAAACACTGTTTACTCTAAACTTCGATGATATTGCCTATTTTTGCTATTGTTTTGCTATTGTTTTGCTTGTGATTTTGTTCTTTCTTTTTTTATTGTTTTTTATCAGGCGTATCACGATTGAAATTAAGGCCTTTGTTTTTTAGTGTTTTAAAAAGTTTGTGTTTTTACTTACAGCAATATCCACATTTTCTTGSACAATTTTTCTTCATATAATCTTCGTAATCCTGGCAGTATTTACTTGGCCAACTGGCGCAGTAGTCAAGAAGATCATTACACCCTGTCAAAAAACGGCATGAATTTCACTCACTGCCTTCAATCTGATTGGTTGAGAACACACGGCGAAACTCAGTAACATGAGAATGACGTGTTAAAATAGTTTAATAAAAATAACAGGAATCGTAATTTCGTAAATAATTGGTTAATGTAATACAAATATAGTGTAATGTCATTTTGTAATATGTTTAGTGTAGTATAGGTTGTGAAATCAGTGCTTTTCAATAATAATAATAAAAAAGAGAATGACGTGTTTGTAAAACTTCGGGGTGGCCCGCTAACAAGCCCTTCCTCTTTCTTCTCGCCAATCCMTCTTTGGCTCGACCCAATCCTTTTAGGCCCACTGTACGCAGGCTAYATCATTCTAATACCCATATCCTACTCTCGCGGCTCGGAAGATAAAAAGTGTCTGGGTACGAGAATGAGGCTGTATAAACTTGAGCATCTTGTTGTGCTTTACTTGAGATCTGTTCTCCCGAGTGAAGTCTCACTGGAYCGGTTATCTCCGGACATAAATAAAATCGTCTCGCAACAAGAATAAAGTGAAAATTTCTAGGGAATTTAGCATGCATGAAAAATGCGCCATCATGGCTACTGTTTCGAAAAAGCTTTAGTTTAACCATAATATCAAAAACTAGAGAGACACATAGACAAACASAATGAAAAGCAAAGAATAACTTTGAAARTCTTACCAGATTGTGCTTCTGTAAGATGAATAAGAGCCACGGCTCCAGCGACAAGGAATAGCAGTTTACACTCCATAGTAACTCTATAGCAGAAACCACAAGAAGTGCATCAGTACCAAGGAAAACCCACTTCTAAACCCACCGATATGTCCAATTAGAATCGTCGAAACTCACACCTGTATGACGTCACTAGCTGTGTTTACATACGGGGTCTWTTCTGATAGAGAGCTCATCAGCCAATTGCTAGCATTTGTTTGGATAATGGTGGATTCTTTCAATGGAACAATCGATGTTTTCAATCTTATTTGACGAGTTTTAGAAGTCATTGCACTTGACTCAACAAACTCTTGCATTCTGTGTGTGCWCACCTTGCACGACTACAACGCGACGTTTACACAAGTGTCGCGACTCGTCACATTGTTTATCGTTCAATAAATATTAAATTGACTCGAGAAAATTACGATTTGATATTAAGTGGGAGATAAAAGATGTTTCTGAAAAGTGTTAGACTTTTAAAATAATGTGATAAAATGCCATTTAGYAGAGGTTATGTCCAATACCTATAAATTTAGTTAGTTTGGAATTAAAAAATCTAAAATGTCGGACGGGAAATGTATGGGAAATGGAGAGAAAAAAAGTAATTGTGACACGGCTATGTCAACTAAAACGAAGTTAAATAACACTGGTTACGAATTCAACAAAATCCTTCCTAATGAATCTACTTTTCAGGCTTTTTATTTATCGATTCGTTTGTTTCTCCGGTTTATTTGTTCATTCATTCATCTATTCATTCCGTTTCATTCATTTTCCATCTATTTATACTATTCATTAATCCATTGAATCGCTCGATGTTTTTGTCATTGTTCAGTCATTCAATCATTGACTTTTTAAAAATGCCACTATAGATGGCCGGAGAAGGAAATTCAACGCACCGCATTAGTGGAACAACCAATAATGTTCAGGTTTTAAATAACCATATTACAGCAAAAGAAAACATGTATTTATTATGGCAATGGGCGTTCTTATGATCTACTAGTGCTCATTAGCTTGGTAACAACTTTGCAGCCCGAACAGTCTACCTATATACCCTTGTAGATAAATATTCATCACTATCTTCCGAGGTTGTCATCACTATCATTTCAGTTATTAATCCTATTAAAATATCATTATTATTTTACGAACTCATTACCACCATTTCTTCWTAACATTAAACAAATGTCAATATATTTCTTTGTGAAATGTTTCTGCGAGGGCAGATGATGATTCAGCTGTCAGGATAACAAATAAATCCCTCGACATCAAGTAATTACTAGGACACGTAATGATAGGACTCAAAGGCGAAAAAATGAGCATTTTCTGGATTTCATCTTATTTCTTAAGTGCATCAAGAAAACTGTTAAGAATGCAGGGCACAGCTTTCATTTAGTTGCATAATAAGTGAACTTAACTATGACATGTCAAACTTTAATGCGATACGGCTGGTCTTAATACGCAAAGTTTTCCCTCTGACAACATAGTTGTATATTACTCCAGAGCAATCTCCMTGCAGATATGCCTTTTTCACACTTTTTGGCAAAAGATGGAGCATTGGCGGATCTAGGATTTTTCAAAAGGGGATTCCACTTTGTTTTCGCATTTTCCTAAAACGAACTTTTTCACTGTGCCTATCGAACTGTAGCAAATGTAAAGACACCCACATTTCATTTAGCATTTTTTTCATGCTAGAAGGGGGTTCCTAGGAACCCATGGAACCCCCTGGATCAGCCACTGATGGAGGGATACTCTGTGAAAACGGTCGTAGAAACTACTCCGACTCCTCTACCTAACACGCACCCCTTGTTCAGTCAGGATGTTCATACAACTAGAAATAATAAAAAAAAACATCCCCATCTGACAACGTTTCATTAACCAGTTCCGTTTTATATCCGACCATTGTTGCAACAAAAACGGACGGAAGATGGGAAGAGACAGAATCCTTTCCACCTAAACCAGTCTTAGCTCCCTTATTTCAACACAGGGAACCCGAAGAGGAAATCAAACGTTTCCCTGYGGCGAATTCTATACACTCAGCAGGGAATGTTATTCACTTACTCACATTGTGTTTTATAACTAAACATGCTTGGTATCTTGAACCTGCAGGGCATTCGGTTGAGACTATAGTATTGACTCAAGACGTCTTCGTATTTAATCGCTGTTGCCATATCAAAAAAGTCAAAAGCGTTCACAATAGTGACCTTTTTTGAGTCTCATTTAGAAATAAACTAAGTTATCTTACGTCACAAGTAGTTGGCAATTGCCATACTCGATTACTTTTAGAAGAGTACCGGTCTGTCATGTCTGATCGACGATACGAGGGGATTTGCTATTACTAAGGCAGAGAGCGTTTAGGTCATGGCCGACTGTACCGAAGCCGTCCCAAGCTAATAAATTCTATATCATACACTGTAATTATATCATTTTGTTTGCTGATATGACCACATATTAATATCAATACCTCATTCAATCTTATGATTAAAATTCCACCACAAATGTAACAATATTCTTAAAAGATATGTTGATAATTCTTATCAAGTCAGCTATACTAGTAGTGTGCGATTCTAATAAGACGTCAATGAAAATACCGTCTTAAAAGTCAACCCAAACGTTTAAAATCGTCTTACCTTTTTACGATGGCTTGGGCTATCTATAWTGTAACAAGAAAGTTTATCATGTCTTTCTTAGTATGCTCTGACTGATATGTTATTAGTGRTCGTGATTGAACTTGACACTAGTAATAATATTACGTGATCCAGGAAGTACGTCACGGCGCTGCGTACGAACGGACGTYGTAGGGGGGAGGGGGTGTGGATGAGGACACTTCAGACGGAAGCTGAGCTTGAGACGCCCAGAACAGTCAACTTTTAGAAGACGAAATCGGAAACAATCTACTGACGAGGTATTTTTCCGAATCCGTTTTCTGCTGGTTTGGAGTTCTTGAGGGCATTTTCGGAAACTCAGGGTAATCTTGTCATTTTCTTTCCTAAGGCTTCGTACTSAACGGTTTGCTCTGGAGGCTCATTATATAGCAACACAATACAATATWATACAATTTTATTAAAGTATTCCCAATTTTTACACAGTACTTACTTATCTAAGTTATAATATATTATATAAAACTAGTAACATAGTTTTCTATTAACAGGAACCATAAGTACAGGCTCGTAGCTTAAAAATTCCGGTGTTTCTCTTTTTTTATTGKTCTATTTTAAAAAGATCCCTTAATGCATTTCGCTCTTGGAATACACTATCTTTAATTAGCTGTATACCCTGAAAAGAACTAAAAGCATCAAGTTGTGATCAAGTATTACGTTGTCTATAAATACACACCARGCGGCGATTCCCAGGGGCCAAGGAACCTATTGTTATGGTTGATGATTCCGCCCGTAGGGGCCTGACGCGGGGCGCCCTGTTTCTTTGCCTAATAAACATATCCGTCTGAAAGASTCGGAAAAGGAATTGTTAWCCAGGACATGGAATCCTAAGAGCTTTAATTTAGCTTTGCTGTAAATTCTCGAACGTTTTGCTCGATAACTGTATTTTTACATCCAAATGTTATAATTACCGTTGATCCCTGATTATAGTTTTGAAATAAAACCCAAAGATTGCTTAGATTGCTAAGTTTTTCTCCATTATCAATTCTATACGGATTGTCATTCATCCTCTTCAACTGTTAACATTCACTATATTTAGATTTAATAATTATTTGATAATCAATAGTACTCCATTTGTCATGAAATGTTGAACGTTCGAGTGTAATGTTGGAGTTTCAAAGGTCTTCAATTGTGTGCCACTGGCATTGCGAATCCCGGCAAATCTTTGGCAACATCTAGTATCTGCCTGGTTCGAGCCTGGCCTGTAAACCGCTTAACGTTAAGAATTTCAAGAGATTTTTGTTGTGTTGTTCACTTGAATACTAGTAATGTTTGTCTGATATGAGAACTGCAGTAAACATTTCCTGTGATGAATTGGAAAACAATGTCAATAACGACAATTTAACAGTTCTGTGAATGCCGCCACATTACAGCGAGTACATTGGTATTCGGGCGTAAAGAAGCACCCATCCCCTCCCCCATCAAATAATAAATCCACTGAAGAATGATTATTCAAACCCTGTATCTTTTGCTAATTCCGAAGCTGAGCTCTTATTGGCTCGCAGCTCTCTAAGGATTTTGGTGACGTCATATATTAGCATAGAACTTCACCGAATAGACCATCCCAATTAGATATTAGATATCTATAAGTGTCCTCATAGTACGATGGTCTAAGAGGGTAGCTARAGGYATGCTCTAGTGGGCGGCTACCCCCTCACTCCCTGGCCTTTTGGTTAAGACTAAGTTTTATGTTCACTCGGGATAGCGTGGAAGAGCCGAAATCTCTAACCGTAACGTAAGCCGATTCGACGCCTCAGCTTCATAGAATGTCTCGGGGGAATMGTCCCATCTTTTTAGTTTTTTATTTTCATTATTTTTTATTTATTCCGGGGGGTGCATCTTTTCCTAAAGTGAAAGTCCTGAGTTCGAACCCTGCTGCTGGCATTTTTCTTTTTTCTTGTTGAATATTTCTTAGTTTTCTTTTGATTCCTGTTTTTTTGTTCCTATTTTTTTCTTTTTCTTTTCTTCTTTTTTCTTTGCTGTTGTTGTTTTTTCCTCTGAAGATTTTCTCTTTTCAACTTAACATATTAAGGACTCGCAAGGAACGCCTGCTRCAAGTGGATGGTTACGGCCGTTCGGACACTCGCAGCACGATGACATAGTGACGAGAGGCGACACTGGTGAAAAACGTACTGCGCATGTCCACAGCTTTCCCGCTGAAACCTCCCTAATTTCCTTTGTAAAGCGATTTTTGTGAAAGTTTTTTACAATTTATAAGCTCGTTCACCGATATATAAGGTTCATATTTCCATCAATCATTGTTCATGATAGGTCCTTTTAGTATGTAGTTTCTATTTTTATCTTGTTATTTCTATTTTGAGAAAATGAGGTTTTTCGTAGTGTTTTCTGTGTTGTCGCTGTAAATCGCCAGTCGCTCTGTTTACAGATTTCAAGACGCGAGCGCCCACTGGCGGGAAAGCTGTGGGCATGCGCAGTGCGTTTTTCACCAGTGTCACGAGAGGCCCCATGTGTAAGGGGCGTAGCAAATTAAGTGAGCATTGCGCGCAAGACTACGAGCTACGTTATATTCCACTTATTGTTATTTACTCTGTTTTCAGATTGTTTSCGAAAGTTTTATTTCAGTTTGGCCGCGTCCCTCATATTGATATTCAAATACAAGCAAAATAGCCTTCTTTCTCACTTTATTCAATGGGAATCAGTGTCTCACTAGGAAARCAATAATTTCTCTTATTGTTAAAAGGAGTAGTGAATGTCCATATATCGCCTCTTTAGTCTGGGGGTTTATATTACTCGTAAAGCCAAACGATTAGGTGAGTTTAAAAAAAAATGCATCGGCTSCGCAAACAACGTAAGTTTTGATCCGTGCTAAACTAGTTGCTCCCTTGCCAGGCTCCTACGTAAGGACAACCATATAACTCAACTCTGAGTGAGACATAAGATCCAAGATTGAACTTAGTTTACACGTAAGACTACGTAAGACTAAACGTACGTATTCCGTGCTAAACTAGTTGCTCCCTTGCCAAGCTCCTACGTAAGGACAACCATATAACTCAACTCTGAGTGAGAGAAAAGATCCAAGATTGAACTTAGTTGGCAAAATACGTATAACACTTGCAATAATGGGTGGTTCGATGGAGTTATACACAATCCCTACATTGTCGATATTTCCTTGAAAACTTTTGCTATATTTCAGGAAACTCGATGTGTTATTACTATATACAAGCTCGTATTCTTTAACAAAAGTTCCAGAAAYACGATGAGTGCCTTGTGTAGCGATTCCAGTGACTTTTTTTACGTCGATTAAATTGATTTGTAGCCACGAGTTTACTCCATTGGAAATTACCCAGGCATCATTGCCGTCTAATCTTGCGTTCCATGGTGGATACGCGTACATGTATTCGGTGTATGACGCTGTAACTTGATGGTTTTGAATGGATTTACTTTGCATCCCTAGAGCATATGAACATGAATCTAATGAAAGGAGAAAGAGGAAATACATCAGTATCATCCCTGTATAACGTGTTCCAGCGAGGCTTGGTTTTTTGGCAGATCACTACAAACGCAAAATCGTTTCCTGGGTCCCAGTTTGAATATAAATGTCTTGGTCGTCCCATTTTGGCTGAGTGACAGCGAGACATAATTATTTTTACTTCAAAACCGATATATTTCTCGTTTAGATAATTATTTCTCGCTCCGTAACCACACTAAATCAATTCTTTTTCTAAATTGAAAGTATTTTTGGCCTCTGGCTTAGATCAAAAACAAAATTTTATTGGACGCGCGTGAAATGGTACAAATTGAAAACGAAGAGCGCGCAATTCTAGAATTCACATGCGCGCAAATAAAAAAAAAATACTTTCATTTTATTATGGATCCTGCTGGCTGCAATTTTCACATTTTTTAATTCTTACTTGTGAGACAACTTTCCGCGTTTCGCGCTTAGTTCAAGCTTATGCATTGCTAAACAAGGTAAAACAAAATAAAATAAAAAATAAATGAAAATAAAATAAACAAAATAAAGGTGAAACGATTCTGGAAAAAATCGTTTCGAAAAAAAAGAATCACTATTAAATTGGAGCGACATTTCAATAGTTTATATATCAATTAAGTGCGGGTTTGCTTGCTTTTATAAGTACCTTTTTCGCATTTCTGTTCATAGAGATCCATTCTCAACCCAATGTGAATATTCCAGCTCGAYGGTAATACCCTCACATATCGTGCGATAATTGGAGGATTGAGAGAGTGAAATACGGCAGTATCTTTATCAACATTGGCTTTGAATACTTTCTTGTAATCATGGTAAATGCTGTCATTGTCGGTACGATACTTGAGGGTGAAGCTCTGTACCCAGTAGTTTTTCTTGAGATCTTTCAGTCCTTGTGTTGCGATACCAGTAATCTGTAGTGGGTAAAAACAGTGATATGACCGCTAAAGTTTTTAATTTTTATCATATAATTATCTTTAACATACTATTGAAAATAACACATTCGTGGTTTCTCAATTTTAAGTAAGAAAAAAGGTATTTTAGAACATAACTTGCTTTCATATGTAATTATATGATRAACAGAATATTTTTACATGGTCGCTTGGAGATACGAATTTTATCTTCTCGTGTAGAAAACACTTTTAAGACTCAAGATATAATCCATATCTCCGAAAAGGTTGTAAATTTGATGTAAATATGATGTAAGTGTCCAAAATGATGTAAATTTGATGTAAATTTGTTTTAAATCATTTCCATCAAATTTCCATCATTTTGGACACTTATATCATATTTACATCAAATTTACAACCTTTAAAGCGCGCGATTTTTCCCAGTGTTTATCCCATATTTTATCAACTATTATTACATCATAATCATTTTCATMATCATCATCATTCCTGGAAAACTCACCGTTGCAATCTTCCCAACATTGATCTGCAGCCATTGAASGTTTTGTGAATAGTTTGGAGTCCATCCTCTGGGACCGTTGAGTCTYGCCCCTGAGGGGTAGTATAGGTAAGAATAGCTACTTGMWGYRRTGWWSTMSTCGKSRRG